GTTGAAAATACACAACATAGTAAGTTGATCCACATATGACAGCCTCTGAACTTGGTCAATACTAATCTTATATCCTATGTCTTATATAGGCTACAGGCACTGAACTAAAAATACATTCAATCAGTCATCACTCCCAAAATGAATTCAACAGGTCATCTTGTTAATGCTATAAATTAATTACAACAGTAAAAGAAAATTTCATCATGAAATTTCATACATACATTCATACATGAACAACAATATCACATTAAACCACAGAAATTCCAAAATGACATTTCCCTTACATTCAACTTCCAAAAGTGCATTCATCTTTGCCATGTTACATTCATTTAGTTGACTAGATAAACCTGACAGAATAACTCGGCGGATATCGCATTTTGCGTAAAATTAAAAATTGACTTTTCAATACCGACCAGATACAATACTGAATACAATACTTATTTTAAAAAATGGCGTTTATCACGTTTTGGAACCAAACTCTTATTTATTATTTATTATCACACTCCTTGTTTGCCTCTCTGTGCCCACATACTGTATTTTGATGCAGCTAAATTCTCAATAAAACGGTTTTCATTGTTATATTTTACTGTTTCTGTTGTCAGACAACAGAATGAATATGAAATAGTGACTGAAACGTGACCCATTAAGACTACATAACCAGCTCTCCCTTTCAAGATGTTAATCTCCACAAAAATCCTGATTTATAATCGAGCCGTCGCCTGATGAAATCAAATACACATAAGATAAAGACAATAGCTGTGCTGTGATTTCGGCTATAGTTGCTTGTAAAATTAAAGCTGCAGTCCGTAAGTTTTGCCTCTTTGTCGCCATCTCTGTTTGAAAACCTGCAATTGCAGCTGTGTGCACTGGAATATAATTTAATTTCATTCACATGTGTTTAATAAACACATAATCCTTTCTGGATTACAATCCGCCATCAAAATGATAAATTTAATTATTCCAGCTGCTGTGAAAAAAGGCTATAAACGATCTGCCACCTGCAGGATCCTCACATGCGATAGCCTAGTAACTGGGACAACTTCTTTATGTTTACAGAAGTGAGGTAATGATGCAGTGGCAATGCTCGAATTTCCCGCGAAAACCTACCCGAACCACTCAAATTAGAAAATATTATTATAAGATAACCGTTGTGAATCGGGCTAAAGTAAGGCGATAGTTTTGAACACTGGCTGGTATTGTACTTGCTCAAATATTGATTTCGGATCATTTTTAACCAAAAACGTTACGGACTGCAGCTTTAAAGAAGCAACATAATATCTGTTTTAACTGAAAGCGCTGCTCCTCTCAGCCACTCGCTGAACAGAGCAGATGAACAGAGAGAGAAAGAGAGAGAGGTGTGTATGCGCTGGGAAAGCAAGACCTTACGCTTGTGCGATAGTACCGGCGAGATATGTATTTTACATACATGTAATTATTCATTTTCTGAATAGGTGCTAAACTATGGAACTACCTGAACAAATGTATACTTAGTTTTTTTGTGTAAAGCTGGTTTAAGAGAATATTTAGATACTGTTGACAACATCACAAGTCATCAGCCAAATGACAAAACAGTTATTAAGTAAGAATCCTAATTATCCTAATTTCTTTATTACATTCATCCTGGAAATTGTTTTGTCAATACTTTTTTTGTTACTGATACTGTGATAACACCTGAACTAATGATCACATATGGGCAACTGAATACATTTGAATGAGGCCATAGATGATTTAGGGACAAATCATCTGAAGAGCAATTTCCTGAACATTATCCTAATAGCAGCCATTAATTCTAGAAAGACATGAGGAGCTACAGGGAATGAAGCATCTCCTCCAGTTATGTCATTATGTCTCTGTGTGTGCACAAGTCTGTATGGCCTGAGTGTCCAACAATGCCTGTTAAAAAAAAAGAACAGAAAAAAAAGAGGAGGAAAGGACTAAAGTACTAGCAAAAATAGCTCAGAAAAAGCACCAGATACAAAGATGAATGGCAACAGCAGACACACTAAAATCCAAGGGAGGAAAAGACACACCGAGACAAGACATGAAGGGGGGACGGGGTAGAAGAGGTGACAACAACTAAGAGAGGATAGAGCGAGCAGGTGAAGGAAGAAGTAGTGTGACGCTCAAATGTGAATGTTCTCACGCTATGAATAATGGAGACTCTCACACACACACACACACACACACACACACACACACACACACACACACACAATCCTCCATCGGCTGCTGTGATGCCTGAAATTCTGTCTAGTTCTAGACATAGGAAAAGATGAAATAAAAATATGCCATGTTTAATCTGCAACACTCTGCCCTAAATATAATTTTTTGGGAAGATGCTGAAATTTCTCACCCACTCGTTGAGCTGACATTTATTGAAGAAATCTCTCTCTCTCCCTCTAGTAATGTAGCCACAGACAAACAGACTGGAAAGAAATAAGGCAGTATTTGAGTCCGATATTCAGAGCCTTTTCACTGGAGCGCAAAGACCCAAATTAACAAATCATTTCGTTTGAGGACACGTCGGTCTAAGGAACAGGGTGTCGCTGAGCGATTACACATTCATTGTTCCATAACGAAGCTAGTGTGATTCTTTGACTTTCCAATTAAAACTAAGTTGAAACAAGTGCATAAGGGAATGTTGATCGAACTACACCCTAAAACATCTTAAATTACACTGCAAGTTACACTGATCGCTTCCTAATGGTAGGTGGCATAGTTGGGAAAGTTGTTGAGATGTGGCCTGTAATTGTTGCAGATGGTGTGAGGTGGATTCTTGTTGCTAGGTGACATTAGTGCACACTACTTACTCATGGCTGCACATAAAGACCTGACATAATGAATCCATTTGCTTGATATGGCATTGTATTATGAGGCCATTTCTGCAGCAGGTTGTTCTGAAAAATGACAGTCTTTGCACTGTGCTTTGTAGACTTTTTTCCTGTTTTTCGAAGCACAGTTGATCCTATTTGCATAATCTATTCACAACATTGGCAGTTACTTACCGAGTCCCCCCGCAGCGATGACCCATCCACCGAGACAGCCAGCTACGAAGTCCGCCCGCTTCTCTCTCATGCGACAGCTCCGCGTGGCCTTCAACCACACACCTGCACACAGGTGACATATCATGAAAATCTGACGTTTTCTTTGTTTAAGTGCTATAATCGGGACCCTGTGCATCTACCAACCCAGAAAACAGAACACTAGAGTCCCAGCCTCAGAGGAGACATAGAGCAGTTGATTTATTTACTGTATATTACGTTGCTGCCACACAGATCTAATATAAACATGTGTATAAAGCAGTGTTGAAGAGTAACTAGTTACATGTAACGGAATTACGTAATTTAATTACAAAATAAATGTAATTGTAATCAGTTACAGTTACTAAGAAAAAATGTGTAATTAAATTACAGTTACTTATGAAAATGTTAAAGGGGTCATATGATGCGATTTCAAGTTTTCCTTTCTCTTTGGAGTGTTACAAGCTGATTGTGCATAGATAAGATCCCTGAAGTTGCAAAGACTAAAGTCTCAAAATCAAAGAGATATTCTTTATCAAAGTTAAGACTCTGCCACACCCCCCTAAAACGTCTCGTTCTAACACGCCCCCACATATCTACATCACTATGTGGGAATATTTGCAGAACTTTTTAACAAAACCTGCCTTGAATTGTCCCTCATTCAGAAAGCAGTCTGGAGTAAAATGATTTGTGCAGCCAGACATAAACAAATTTAATGAAAGTGAATTGAATTGACATATGGCTAAGGCCCAATCCCAATTCTATTTTATACCCCTTCTTTTTATAACTGAAATGGAGCAAAGGTACCCAGACTCTATTTTAATCATTCT